GTCTTATTATTTTTGTACTTCATAAAAAAATGCCTGAAAATTAAAATTTAAAAGATATCTCTACAATTTAACGCATAGGTAATCTTATTAATCGTAATCATATTTTAACCAAATCCATATTTTTAGTTTCAATTTAAAATTGACATTACACCTGTAAAAGTTTTCACAGTATATCTTCACAGCAAAAAATATGCATAAAATTATTTCTTTCCTCAGCACTTTATACAATTTTCGTGCCTTCGTTTTTAGGTAGTGTTAGTAGCTGTCATCGCAGCGGTGTCTGCTGCGGCCCCACCTCAGGAAGCTGCCAAAGCTTTTACTTTCAGTGGATTCCCATCCAACCAAGCCTACTACCCAGGCCAACAAGGGTACTACCCAGGATACATTGGTTACCAGGGTTAYCAAGGTTACAGCGGATTCCGTAATGGATACTACCCGGGACAACAAGGATACTACCCAGGATACCAAGGTTACCAGGGATACTACCCAGGATACCAAGGTTACCAGGGATACTACCCAGGATATCAAGGTTTAATTTCGTTAATTATACGTCTAAAACACTGCAGAGTCACATGATGTGTTATAAGTTTCTTATAATTTACTATTTTCACATAGGTTACAACCGCGGTTACTACCCAGGTGCCCCAGCCGTCTACCCCACCGTCACCCCCGCCCCAATCATCGCACCAGTGCCAGTCGCGCCCAAGGCTGTTTCTCCAGTGTACAAACCCGTAGACAACAAAGTGCCAGCTATCCTTAAACAATCGCAAGAAGCTGACTTGAACGGATTCAAATACGGGTTAGTATTATAATTGGTACATTATTATTCGATCGGTTTTCTGCATCACAGCGAATGGYGGATTAAAATTGAGAAATAGAGACCCGCGCCAAATGGCATGTCCACAAAAAATACATTGTTTGTAAATAACGGATATATTTGTGTGCATTTTCAGATACGAAACCGAAAACGGCATCGTCGCCCAGGCTGCTGGATACGTTAAGAACGCCGGTTCCGAAAACGCCGTCCAAGTGATCGAAGGCTCGTATGCCTACATCGGTGACGATGGTGCTCCAGTCGAAGTCAAGTACTACGCTGACGAGACCGGTTACCACGCAGCCGGAAACGTCGTCCCGACCACTCCCCCAGAGATCGCCAAGTCTTTGGAATTAATCGCCTCCCAACCACAGAAACCAGAAGACTCCAAAAAGAAGTAAACCCAGCTCGCATGTAACCATCRTGTACGCTGAAACGGCCCAAACACTCGTATACCATTAGCTATTAGATACCGCATGTGAAATCATGCAYATTTTTATCATTGCAAATATTGTGTACCTATGCAGTGATTTTCGTTATTCGTATCTGAACGACGAATATCGACACATTTACTGTACATAGTAATTCAGTTATAATATGTTGGATGTAACAAAAAAAGATGAAAATATAAAAACTTGAAGTTAAATATCGTACAATGTTTTCTTATTCCACTCGTTAGTCRGTCTTTAAGTCCATGCGTCATGCATCTATGTTATCTTCTAGCAAAAATATATTCTACAAGTTACAAACTATGTAGATAACATTATAGGTATTATGTGTTATGTTTAGTAACAGTTCGATTTCGGCACCATCTGCCCGTTTGAATGTGTGATTGTCCGAAACGTCATGTTACTTGCAAGTAAGTAATAAGCCATRGCTTATTTTTGTGTTTTATCTAATTTGAGGTATATCAGGATACAATGCTAAAAACTGCATTGAAATCAAAAAATAAAGAATAATATCGATATAATGCAAGATACACTCACGATACTATACTATTTACTAACACAATAACATATTTGACATTTGTAATTATAATTACTTCAAAGAAAAAAAACGGTAATGGTAAATTGTAGTTGACGTTGAAAAATAAATAGATAGATTTTTATAAAAATAAGTAAGACTGATATTTTGTTATTTGCATGAATAATTGTATTATGGATCGGCGTATTTGAATTGGCTAACCG